TCTTGTGTGGGAGATCCTGCCCAGGACTCTCGAGCTCCTGGAATCCATGAGAAAGCATAAGGCCTCTGCCAACTGCATTAAGATTAAAGGCATTGACAAGGAATGTGTTATTGCCAGCTCAGATGGGGCCTGCATAATCTGGGACCTGGTGGAAGCCAGAACTCGCCCACTCAACCCCTTCTGTTTCTTTTCTGCTGAAACTGATTCACATCACAGCAATGGATAAGTCAGTTAAGTTCTGATGAAGGCGAACGTCTTGTTAAATCTTCCAAAACTTTTGAAGAACATCATATTTAGTCAGGGCTGTAAAAAATACATGAAGCAGTATTGATTTCCTCCTCACTCTGTCTGTCTGTGTGGAGTCAGGTGGTCCAGGATTACACTGATCAGCACTGTCTGCTACTCCTCCCAGACACACGGCAGGTCATCATTATGAGGTAGCTACCTGCAGCTGAAAGATAAAGCCAATAATGAAGTGTCTTAAACTTGCATTCTTTCTAATGGCCAGCAGGGGGCGACTCCTCTGGTTACAAAAAGAATTCTGATTGTATAGAAGAAAATGACTCTACTTCTCTCTTGATTTATTACCTCAGTAAACATTGTGAATATGAGTTTATGGTCTCAATCTCTAGTTTCAAGTCTTCTTCAATACAGCATGATGTTCATTTAGTAAATTATGGTCCATTTAGAGTCAAATAGACCATAAAGCAGGGGATGCTTTAGGGCGGGGCTACCTTGTGATTGACAGGTCACTACCAGGTGTTTTCTGGTCTGGGAGTTTTTCTAAGTTTTCGTCTTACAACTTTAACCCTTTCAGTGCTTTTTTAGTTCATGAAAGTTTTTTTTTTGATTGCCTAAAATGTCATTGAACAAATTGCATATGTACAATTACACAAACTGACAATAACAAGCGGCAAAATACATACATTGAAACTTGCATACCGTGGGGGCTTTGTTGCCTAAATATGTCCGTGTTCTGTTGTACTTAGTTCCGCCCTCTCGTGTAACTTCTGGTTGCAAAAAGAAACAAGACGTCGTAGTGACTACGTCCACTTATTATATACAGTCTATGGTCATTATTAGTGAAAGAAACAAAGCTTTTTCAGAACATAAATCAAAAGAAACTTCTAAACTTTAATTGTGCTGTATTACATGTAAGTTTTGATGTACTAAATCCTCAAAACACGAGTGATGTACATACTGAATGCTCTTGCATCTGGTCATGTTTAACTGTAGCACAGCAGTGTGTGACAGAGCTAGTGCATTGTTCTTTTAGTTAAGGGAGCGCTTGTTCCTGGAGCAGACGGCATATATGACTCAGACGACCAGATGGTCTCTTTTGCCTGCTTCATCTTTGGGAATGACATTTCCTTCTTTAAAGAGAAGAGCGTCTCCATTTATAGGCACACTTAGATATTAGGCCAGCACGGAGCAACGCCGATCTAATTATGTGTGCTGCAGCACTCTGAAGGAAATACAGCGTGCTATCTCTTTTGTTTATATTATTATAAGTCTGAGTTGGTACCAAATTAATGTTCAAAGAGTTGGTCTTTTGTATGAGATGTTCCCTCACATCAAAGACAATAGAATATAGGCCACACATGTCTTTACGATGGTGCACCTCCCTTCTCATAGTGAGAGAATAATAATTGCATGTGATATGGAATTAGATGTTGGTGGGAGAACTCATCCTCGCAAGAAGAATATTAAAAAGTACTTGACTTTAAAAAAGAAAAATGCAAAATAGCTCTAAAAATAGCATCAAATCCAAGCTGATAGCGAGGCCAAAATAAAAAGGAGACAACTGCCAAACCCAGAGGAGGTTACTGCTTAGCCACGAACTCTCAAACATGCACAGCGCTGCTGTATATGAGAGATGGCAGCAGCTCAAAGGTGCCCTGGGGTCATTATTGCAGAATTTAAAAAGTCGTATGTTTCATCAAGTCCTGGGAGTGGAAAGATTGAAATACTCCAGTTGATGGCTTTGTAGTAGTTTCGTAACAACTACCTTCTGCTGTCAATGTGAAAAACTCCATAGGCACATTTATACAGCTTGGGTTTGCTCAAGTCCTTAAAAATGTGGATTTAAGCCGAAGAGGAGGATCAATTTAAAGAGAGTTGACCCAACGCATGTGAGAGGAGTTTAACTAAGTAGTTCCTGCTGGATGAGTGGAGCCTTACGTTGTGTTTGGGCTCATTGTTTCAGAGTGAGATGGTCTTTGTCCGGTGCTGGAGGTATCTACATGAATCTATCACACAGAATGTGATGCTACAGAAGTCCCAGGAACTGTAGATATCACACGGCTTAAAGCAGGTATGACTTGCTGCTCCCCATCGACACTGTTGCTTAAATGTGAAACCTATTTCATGGAAGATCGACTTGATTTTAGTTTGCATCTGCTGTGTTGGCTCACATGAACAGGTGGCGTGTTTGCTACATGGTGTGGGAGAGAGATTATTGTTTGCCTACTCGTCTTGGAGGCAGATGATGTCGGTAGGGTTTTCGGGAGGCTTTGCGTGCTCTGCTGTGTGCACTCATGGCAGTTTCTAGCCCTCAGCTTAAAATATTTCACAAGTATTCTTGACTTTCCTCCTTGAAATTGAGCCTGCTGGTTGTCCTCCGTACCATCATCAGCACCGCTCTGAAGGGAAGCAGAGTAGGAGGCTCCTCTTCTTGGCTCAGACTTATGAAGGTATATTTGTGTCTTTATTACGCAAACAAAAAAAAATGTTTCGAAAGCAAATTTCTCGCACTGCAATCAAAAATCAAGTTTGTAAGTGAAAATATATAAACTGAGAATAATTTATTTGTTAGTTTTGCTTATGAAACTAGAATTATTGGCTGCAAAACTAAAACCTTTGCTTTCAAAAATAAAACCTTTTTATGCACCAATGTATTGAAGTATAATACTGACAAGAATATAATATTGTTTATCAGACATGATTGAAAATGTAATTTCTCCGAGTGTTGGTGTTTGGTGTTTAAAGTACTCACCCTGTACTCTGGGTTTAGGATCAGAAAGGGATTTAATCTTAGCTTTTAACAGGAGATCCTGTAAATTCTTGTTTTTCCTGAATGCAGCAATAATGCTATAGTTTTGTAATGTTGAGGTTCCTGTAATGTGTTTGTGAAAGTTCCTCCTACTTTCTCTGATCAGTTCAACAGTTGACGGGGAAAATGTAGTCACAAATGGAAGGTTACAAGCTACTACTGTAGGTTTAGTTTACTGAAATGACCTTCTGCATTTTCTAAGAAAAGTCCAAGAGTATCCTCTGCTGGTCAAAGCTCGAAACAACACTCTGACTGCCCAATTAAAATCCTCCTGTTCAGTGCAGATTCTGTGAAACCACAACAATTGTGACTCAATCAGGCCTGCATAGGTGTGTTTTGGGTGGAAACTAGTTTTGTAGAGCAGAGCGTCTCTTTAAAGAACACTTTAATGGCTAGAGTGGGGGTCTCATGGAACCTGTCGTTCTTAAAAGTGGTGGTGTCCAGGAAGTCAACAGAGGTCAAACTGCTGGTGGATTTTAGCTTGATTGATTCACTGTGATTATTGAGAGTGGTCAGAAAGATGTCAAAATCCTCTCTCGGGTGAGGCCACGCCCCCCAGATATCATCTAAAAACCTGTAATAGTACAGGGGCTTCTTAGGACACAAATATACCTTCGTAAGCCTCTCTCTTCAGCTTCGCATTAGCAGCGAGGAGGAGGGTCAGTCGTAATGCTTATGCTCACTGCTGCTAAAAGAAAAATCTGCACTTCTTCAGTGTTGGTAAGACAGTCCTGTGTGATAAACGTATCTGAGCAGAGGAGATAAGCCGTGCCGCTCTCCTATACTTCATAACCCAGGAATGATAGTAGTAATCCAGGACACTGTAACCTGCGATAAATGCCTTCCAAGGCTTAGCTAATGAATTTCCTCTGGAGGCTGCTGGGTCACACACATTCACAGATATATGCTCTCTTCTTTCCTTTTTTAAAATTCTTAATTGGCAGAAGTCAGCACATTAGACCAGTGATTCCTTACCATCATGTCCCCCGGGGAGTTACCAGAGTAAGCAAGACTGTGAAGTTAAACTATTAGAAAAATAGAAAGAAATGATGCTTGATTTAAAGGCCTATGAAAGTTTTTTCTATGAAACAGTTAGTTACACTTCAAGTACAGTTTTGAGGTCTATGTTTACTTTAGTTTCTCAATGTTTTTGCTTTATGCTTCACAATTTTCAGAGGGATGTATTGCACTTTTTAATCCACTGTTTATTTGACAGTTATAGCTGCTTTATTCAGACTAAGAATCGAAAAAATCTCATTAAATGCAATGAACTGTCAAAGATTGAATAAGTGTCTTTTAGCCATTTTTGCTTGTGACCCAGTGTCAACTGGGGCCCCTTGTCTCATTTCAGATGTCTGTGAGTTGTTAGTAGATCCACCAAGGAGACATTTCCCCTCTGAAACTGTGAGATGGTTTCATTTAAATAACTGTTTTGAGGAATAAAAATCCAATGTTTCACAACAAAGATTCGAGGAAATTCCAGAAATGTTTAATTTGAGTTGCAGGACTTCTGTTATTCCTCGTTAATCATCTCACGACCCCTCAGATTTATCCGGTGACCCTTTGAAAGGGGCCCGACTGAACTACCTAACCGTACATAATGTAGTTAAACCAGCTCCCCCTCAGTTACACGTTACATAATGGATGACTCATTATTAACAATCTAATAATCTCAGATATAATTAAATAGGGGTCATGGGGACATTTCTACTCTTGATACTTTGAAGTACATTCTGCTCATACTTAGATGGTATTATGGAGTATTTTACACCATGGCATTGATACTTTTAGTGAAGTAAATAATTTGAGAGGGCTACTTTTCCCTCCACTAATGGAAAGTAAACAATTTCCGTGTCAGACCGGTGACCACAGTGTACACTGCTCTCTTATCTCCTCCATGTGCATGGAAGTGGGAGGGGGCAGGCGCACAATCACAAGCCTTTTCCCAGGCGAAGTTGGGAGCGATGGGAGGGGAGCGCTCAGTGCTGCAGCTGGACGGTGGAGCGGCTCGTGTGGTGCCGGGCATGACGAGATGCTGCTCGCGGTGTCGGGAGTAATAATGAACGCCTTCAGTAAGTGCTGGGGATGGATGAGGGAGGTTTACCGGCAGCGCAGGGCGGAATAACAGTGAGCCGTTGTGCCTCCAGGCTCCGCGATGGTGTCACCTCTGCTATCCGGACAGGGGACGCTGGCAGAGAAGTGACACACCGGCGTTGGAATTTACACAACTGTCAGTCTCCGCGGTAGACGCGCGAGGGAGTAGAGACATGGAGAAACAGAGCAGAGTCAAGGAGGAAATGCCGACATCGAAGGAGGAGAAGCGCAAAGAGAAGAAGCCCAAATCGGGGAAGCTCTTCCGAAGGAAGTCGTTGAAGTCTGTGGGGAGTTTCATGAACAGAATCATCAAAACTTTGGGCACTTTGACCCACTTTGGAGACGCGGACGCGCGGGACGCGGAGGACGACGACGGGGGGTTTCGGAATGGCGCATCTTGCACCCTCAGCGCCGGCTCGGGAACAGTCAGAGACGACGCACATGTGACTTGGGATCGCGCGGTGAAGAACATCTCGAGCACGTCTTCCTCCCTGTGCACCGGCAGAGACAAACTGCTGCACCAATTCGCAGAGAAAATCCCAGGTGTCCTGGGGCTGAAGAACCACGGGAACACCTGCTTCATGAACGCCGTGGTCCAGTGTCTGAGCAACACGGACCTGCTCGCAGAGTACCTGGGGCTGGAGCGGTACAAGCTGGACCTGAGTCAGACCAGAATGAACGGGGTGGTGAAAGGTGATGAGATGCGGGTCGCCAAGGGAGAAGTCACGGCGCAGTTGGCATCGCTCGTCAGGGCTCTGTGGACTCTGGAGTACACCCCACAGCTGTCTGTGGACTTTAAGGTACCCAGTGTGCACCACATCAACCTCAACACACAGTCTACAGGTGGACATGAGCTAAGTGATGAGAGTACTTAGTAACACTGAGAAGGTTCAGTGATGAAAAGAGCCGGTGATATTAAAAAGATGAGGGCAGTTTTAGTGGTTATCATAAACTAAACACATACTCTCACATTATACGTCCCTCTGTACCTTAAGTGCAGAGTGAGCTCACTGTTTAGTCAAACATGGGATGCACACAGTATGCCATCAACACCACTATGAAGTGCACAGAGTAGCACTAACAAATAAGAGGTGTCCTCTTTAATTGCCAATAGCGATAATTGCAAGCCGACGGTGCTTTGCTCTGTGACTTCAGTGTTTTCCTGCTAAATGATAACGAGGCTGCTGTCTCAGGGTCAGCTGGTGTCTTCTTCCACCACTTAAAAATACGGTACACCCTGCTGGCATCGTTTCATGAACAACCCCAGTAGGTGTGCAATGACTTTAACTTAATCATCACTTCCTCGTTGCGCTCCTGTGCAGCACTAACTAGTGTTTTATTTCCTCTCACAGCATGGCCAGCGAAGTATTGCAGTGTTTATTTAGAGGTGCGGTGGCTCAGGAAAGTAATGTTGGAACACTTCCCACTTAATAATCTTCCTTCCCCGAGGATCAGGGGCTGTACAGTCCTATCAGGAGACCCTCAGGCTCTCCTTCTCTGCCCCCCGGAATTACAGTAAGGGGGGGGGGGGGGAGTCTTGTTTTATCTGCCTGCAGCTCTTTGCTCTGGATTTCTTTGAGCCATAGTTCAAGGCAAGAAGTAGATAATATGGAGCAGCGAACAAAAAAACTCCACAATGGATCTATTCTTGGAAACGTTAATTACCATGTAAGAATATCCTGACCTGAGCTGTGTTCAGGCACCTCCATGTCTTTCCTCACACTTCAATATGGTGTAAAGAGGAAGCCAACCTCAGAGCCAACTAAGTAGTTTTGCTGCATGGGAAATTCAATCAGAATCAATTTTAATATTGATTCTTTTTGTTTCTCCTTTGCTCTCCCATCTGTTGTGGTCTCTGAAAGACTCTCCTGTCAACCAGAACCCTTACTGCCAATAACTCCCAAAACCTCATGAGACTCGGATACGTTCAGGACAACAATCAGAGGGAACAACATGGAAACAACTTGCCAAGATAAAAGGATAGATTCAAAGAAAAACTCTAAACCTTCCCCCTTGTGTGTGATTAGATGTTTCCTGTGTCAAAGCGTGCGCAAACACACACACACATCGATGTGCCTCTTGGCTGTGGTTTGTGAACGTAGGAGGTCCATACTTCATACAGCTCAGGCCTTCTGAAATTGCCTGTTGAGTAATACCACAGCTGCCTGGAGGGAGGCATTATAAAATAATCAGATAGCTCCAAGTCTTGTGTCTGAGAGGCAAACTTAGCTCCTAGTCGCAGGAACTCCCGACAGCATACATCACTTATAAACAATCCTCCAAAACAGAATGTTTTTTACTTTGAAAGCTGAATCTCTTGTTGTTGTAAATTAATAATCCCGGTTTGCAGGCCTCTGAATGTCAGGTGTTTTGTCGGGAAAGGTTCAGGTAAAGCAGCCAGATTAAAGGACTCACTATAGTACTCCTCTTCACATCACATGGTATTTGATAAGAAATGATAACACTGTGCACTGCGTTTATTTAACATTTGACATGAATGATGGTGTTCATGTGCACCTCCTCTGTAGAAGTGGAATCGTCTTTGATCAAAAGTTCTTCAAAGTTAATGAAGCAGCAATGGCCTCCTCGCAGCTCAGTTGGCTGCAGAGTCCCAGTCGGGAGGAAAAACAAAACAACAAAGTGCGGCAGAATGCCTGGCACTGCGCCACATCCCAGCACCACCTGTATTGTGGGACAAGAGCGGTGGAAGGACGGAGGCTGCTTACACAAGTGTTCACTAAAGATTAGGTATCGCTGTGCTGCTTTGCGTCCGGAGCTTCCACGTCGCAGTCGGAGGGTTTGCGTTCCTTCAAACCTGGTAGCAGATGTGATCTTTTGATCTGGACAGTTCCTGTGCGTTTTATGCATTCCACCCCCGCCCCCCCT